ATCTCAATGGCGACGGCCTCGGTGAGTGGCAGCGACGGATGGGCCGGCCAGAGAATTGGATTCCCGGGATGCTTGAATTGCCTTCGGGTGCGGCGTCTAGGCGTCGATTCTCTTTACCGTAGTTTGAAAGCTTTAGGAAGTTCGCCGATTCAAGCACCTGCGACGACGGCCCGTTCGACGGGAGAGAAAGAGAATTGAAGTCAAAGGTCGGGAGGTTGGGAAGAAGAAGAGAAAGAAGAAAGAAACCAGAAAATGGACAATATTGGGCGGAGGTTGGGAAAGCTGCCGTCGAATTGATTCGTTTGGACTTCTTTGTTTAGAACCTTTTTTCTCGCCTTCAACGCCCCAACCAACCACTTGACAGAATGAAAGCTCCCCTGGTGTGGCCCGCGGGGTGTTTGCTTGGCGATTGAAGATTTGAGCAAATGGAACACGAAGAAAGCGGGCGGGCGCAAATCGCTACAGAAGGGAAGGTCGAACTACTGCGAGGTTGTGGGTTTCTAGCCGTTGTTACCGTCCTTTTTCTGAGAGCTCTGCAGGATGATGGGAACAATGGAGGGTGAGTGGATGGGTGGGTGGTGGTCGGGTTCGAAGAGTAAGGTAAGGGTCGTAGGTATCCGGCCGGGATAAGCGGTGTAACCGATCCAGCAGGTCGTCTCTTTGAAGAAATCCCAGGATCTCAACGTCGAGAAGAAGAGGAAGGGAAGGGAAGGGAAGGGAAGAAGGAAAGAAACAACCACAAGCTCTGACTGGACACGAGACTTGCGGGGGTTTGCTGACGACTGGAATAGAACTGAAGAAAAAGTAGAGAGGACGGGAGGCAAAAGGATGCCCGCCCGCCTTAATCCAGAATGGAAAGTCGAAAAGGAACAGCGCCAAGCATGTCCAGGCAAGGAAGGGTGGGCGCAATCCAGGATGGACAAACGTAATGGGTGGGTGGGAGAGACGCAAGCCCGAGGGATTTGGGGATTTGCAGACACTCAGCTCAGATGGAAATCCATTGACGATGTTTGGACGGACGGGGCACGGGAGGGAGAGGCATTGGGCCAACGATCAAGTCTTTTCTCTCTCCCTATTTCGACTCTTGGGCTGTCCCTCATGCATCCATGCGCTGGTACTCCGTACTGTCCGTCTTCCAAACGCCCCAACACCATACACACACTCACGATACTCTACAGTAGATAGAACAAACATTTCCCCCTCCGTCTCTACTCAGATATCTCAGTTTCTACAATGTCAATGTCCGCCAGGTGGGCTGTGCGGCGCGGCGCTGCATGAGAATGGGCAAAAAAGACAAAATGAGGGTTCCGGCCAATATGCATGCGACGGCGTGGTCGGGGCAGGTCCTTGGAGTAAGGTCCATCCAGGAAGAATCTTTTCTTTCTCATGGATGATGGTGCTGCCCTTGAACTTTGTATGAGCAGAACATGGGGGCATTGGCAATATCTGGGCATTAAATTCCATCACATCAACAACCATGTTTAGGTAGCCAGTTTCTAGACCCAACTTGACAGGCCTTGAGAAACCACACGTCAAACTGCCAGAATCCAAAGAGAAGATAGTTTCAACGCCTAAAACGCCATCATTCCTCTTCCCTCTCCCCCACCGATCCTAGCCTAGGGCCGGTCTTTGGCATCCCACCCCTTGGCGGAGTCGCGGGAAGATCCCGGATTGTCTCTCCCGCTATGAACTCCCCGATGGACTCTGCTAAATTACTCCGTAGTCCGTACCAAGCCCTGCTGCCCTACTGGCTCACATAGCGTATCCGTACCTTACCTAGTCTAACCCGTCGGTAGGGCTTTGCCAGGGGCCAAGACTCGTACGCCCGAGGCATTGACAACCCGTAGAGTAGCAATTTGGCCAATTGCTCAAGCGTTGAAAAGTACTCAAAGCATCGGAGAGCAGTAGCTAGAACCTGCTGGCACACTACGGAGTAGATCAGATTACATTGACCGTTAAAAACTGTTAGTGACGTTTGCTTGGCAAACGGTAACCGGCAAACGGGCCTGACGGGGAGCTGGCGGAGCATCCCATCGGACCAAGAAATGCCATTGCGTCATCCCATCAACTCACCCCAGCGTCGCAACGAAACGATGTCACTGGAAACACAAACCGTCCAGGTCAAAAACGTGACGGGAATCGAAGCCATGAACCCTTCCTGTTGTCCTTACGCACCTTGAATCGACGACATCTCTTATTGCCTCCAGTAAGCCAGGGGACAATGTCAAGAAGGACTGTCAGATTGGACATGAAATTGCACACCCAGTACGATGATCAAAAAGCAGGGTCCTTCCATAAATAAACCAGTGGCGCACCCATCCAAGTTTCCTCCTAGTCAGCCCGGTTTCTGCTGTCCCCACATCGCCACCAGTGACCAACTCTCGAGTCTCAACACCACTGTAGTGTTTTACTTTACTAAAGAAGTCTTCGAATGTGATAGACTTACGAAAGGATACGCCTCTCCCGAGTCCCGTCAAGAAAGCGGGCCGGCCAATTACTCCGTCAGGAAATGACCGTCGCGTTATGAGATCAGATGGGGGGGCCACACCATTGCGGCTCACGGCACGTTCCCTTGTGCCCTTTTCCAGCCTTTGAGACTCACGGATGGGTACGCTTGCTGACATGGAGACATGGAAGCGTAACAGGGCAGGCTAGAATGTCACCAGAGCCCACAATGAGGCTCAAACGGCGCACCCGCCGCAGGAAACCTGCCCAGAGCCTGGCACGCCCTGGATAATGAATCCGGTATATCGAGGCATCTCCACCAAGGAAATCCAGAATACCAAGACGGTTTACACGGCAGTCACGCGGCACTTGGCCCGGAAGGTCCCCCCCACAAGCCCTCACAGCTCTGTCTGCTCTGGACTCCGGAGACCAGAATTGCTCGAGTCCAGACAAGTGAAGGCTGCAATGACACTACCCTTGCCCCCTCTACGGACTGCTCTGACGTCGTCTTCCCCAGTGTTTTTGTATGCTTCTTTTTCCGGGGTCGGGAGTGTGATGCTTGGTGATGTACTTTCAATGGAGAACCCCGGGCCGGTGGTGGGATTTGACGTAGATGGCAGACTGTTGCATGGAGACGTGGGCATTCGTCGCAAACAGGGTGACGGCACTGTCGATGACGGACGTCGACGCGTTCCTTGGCCACGATGACGGACTTGTAGGAAGACAGTAGAGGCGCTCAAAGTATAAAGGCATCTGTTCTGAAGCGCCTCAAGTTGGTATTCTCTCTCACCATCATCAAACACAGCCACAACGACCAACACAACTACAATCTCATCCGAGTATCACTCATCATCACCGCACTACAATATCCTAAGATCTCATATCCTAAACCAACAGACCCACGCACTTAACACACTCCCACCCCAAAACCAAAATGCACGGCGGAAGACAAGAAAACTACGGCTCCAGCGGCATGGGCGGCGGCTACAACGACGGCCCTAGAGAAAACTACGGCGGCGGCAACATGGGAGGAGGCATGGGCGGCGGCTACGGAGGCGGCCGCGAGAACATGGGCGGCGGTATGAGCGGCGGCATGGGCGGAGGCTACGGAGGCGGCGGCCGAGACAACTACGGTCCCTCCGGCGGCATGGGAGGCGGCCCCGGTCCCCGCGACAACTACAACGGCGGAGGCGGTATGGGCGGCGGCATGGTTGGTGGTATGGGAGGTGGCGGTGGCTACGGCGGTGGCCGTGAAGAGTACGGACATTCTGGTGGCCACTCTTCCCACGGACGTAAGTTTACCCCTTCTTCACTCGCTTCGATACTTTGGACACAGTGAAGCTAACATCATCGTAGGCCGCAACAGCTACGACCGACGCGATAGCTACGACCGCCACGACAACCACAGCAGCCACGGCAGCAGTCACGACAGCCACAACAGCAGCAGCGGCGGTAGCGGCGGAGGTCTCCTCGGCGGGATCCTCGGCGGCGGAGGAAAGGATAAGAAGGAGGAGAAGAAGAGCGAGGGGTTCACTGACAAGTTGATTGACGGTGCCGCTTCGTACGCCAAGAAGAAGTGGTAAATTCCGAAAAGCATCTTCTGACACAAAGTCAGAAAGATGAATGATGTAACGAATACCTCTTGTATTAGTAGCCCGGGCCTACGATCATAGCCTGTAGTAATAATTCCCTGATTATTCAGAATCATTGCCAGAGACTTGCCGTGGTTGGATGTTTGTCTATACTTACTTACTCTCGAGCGTTTATTGGTCTTTCGATACTGTCATAGTCCCCTTCACACATTAGATGTCAATAATGTTGGGCGGCCCGAAATCTTACTAGCTCATCACCACACAGAGATCACGTTCAAGCGCGTCCGGAATTGCAGCCATTATAAATCTTGAGCGATCTCATCGCACCTCATTCAAATCTGCCAAAGGGGCTTTCGGGGCATTTTCGCTTCCCGTTGAATACTCTTGTTACATGCCCTCAAAAACGCCAAATTTCATCCTCTCTCGTCAATCAAAAAGGGGTCCGCTTCCAAATGTCCTCTCCGAACGAAAATAGCCCCCTTTCGACACTTCCTAAGAAGTCAGAAGGGTCACCAAAATTCAAGGCCTTTCTTCCTCCTCTCGTAAAAGGTACGGAGAGAGGTTTTGTGAAGCCCAATTTCCCTTTTTGCCCACCTTCCAATTCTAATCCGGGGTACCACACCCCAATGCTGATGCAGGTTGTCCGAAGCAAGGCAAAACAAAAGAAAGCCCCAGGTAAGGGGTCGAGTAGGGCAAGTTCGAAGAATCAGTTGCAGGGGCCAGGAGACCACAATCCCACAGAGCGTCCTTGGTAAACTCCGATGATCAGAGGTACAAGAATGCTCTGAGTGGTGCCCCCTTTGCCAAATGTACAGGTCGAGGCCAAGAGCGTCGATGGGTAGTTCGGTATGTACCAATTGCGAGATTGTCGCCAAATCAAGAGGTCGTCAGGCGTCAAGCCGGAGCCGTGAAATGCACACCGGATTAGCGAGTGTAACTCGCGGATCGCACGTCGGGGTGCGCTCACTCTTCCTTCTTGGGCTTCTCTGCTTCCTCAGTGGGCTGCTTCTTCTCCTCATCAGCCTTGGCCTTGGCCTTCGCCTTGCCCTCGTTGTACTTCGTCATCTTCTCAGACATGTACCGAACGGAACGGCCGACGCCCGCGGTAAAGAAGCCCTTGATTGACTGGGCGGTTGCGGGCCAATTTACGGTCTGGCGAATGACCTTGCGAATGGACTTTTGCAGCTCCTCGGGCTCATCTTGGACGATACGCTGCTCGAAGCCGCCTCCCTCGCGACGCTTGAAGCTCACGGCGTCCTCGTCCTTGGAGGCATCCATCATGGCCTTGAATTCAGCAGTCGGGACCATGAACTTCTTCTGGTACTGGAAGTAGAGGCGTGAGCGGAAGGCCTTGGGCAGGCGACGGACCATGTTGCCACGCTTTATAGGGTCCATGTCCTGGTACATGGCGCCGTCGTACTCGGCGTCAGCGACATGCTTGCTCTGCTGGTCGGCTCCGTCGGCGAAGTCAACATTGGGGAGAGTATTGAGCAGCGGGCCGTATAGCTTGCGGAAGGAGACCATATTGTTGTCCACAATGTTGGAGATCTTGCTCTTGTTCTCGGTGGGGAGAGACATGCGCGGATCACCGAGGTAGGAAATGCCGGCAATGGTAGAGAAGAGCTCCTTCTCGGTGAACTTGGGAGGCAGAAGTAGAAGAGCCGTGCGGACCGCCGAGATCAGATTGACCTGATTCGCGAGGCGAACTCGGGGGTGATCACGCAGGATCTTAACCGGCTTGTGAAGTCTTCCCGCGAGGTACAGATTGTTCCAGGTCGAGAGGTCGGTACAGAGGTTATCGATGGATGTGACGCCGTACTTGATGAGCATGCCCTTCTTGGTGACGTAGGGATTGAAGTAGACACCTGCGCCCCAGCGATCCTGGGTGGTAGAGACGAGGCCCGAACCGAAGCTGGCTAGGCCAGAGTAGTGGTCACGGTGCTGTCTGATGTTGAGCGAATGCCAGTGCTGGGTGTGGGTGACACCAAAAATGAAGTCAATCATTTTGGGGCCTCCTTTCTGCACTTCCATCAACGAGGGAGACGGTTTCGGGTGGACAGCGCGAAATTCTTCGTCCGACACAGAACGGCTGATCTTGGACTGCGGGAAGACACCTGAGCCGTACGCCATGGCGTACATGACGGGAGCGCGGAATTCCCGGACAACCTCGGTCAGGACCTTTTTGAACTCGGCATTGACCTCCATATGCTGGTTGATGCCAAACTCCTTGTAGGGGAGCTCCTCGAAATCCTCAATCTTGGCATCGGGATGCTCCTCCCAGTTGTCCGCCGACAGAGTCGGACCTGTCCTCTCCTTCTTCTCCCGACCCCAGTTGAAGTTGATCGCGGAGCCACGGTGAGTGTAAGGAGGAGGGCTATCCTCCTGCTTGCTCTCACTTGCCACATTCTCGTCCTTCTTGCCGGCGTCCGCTGAGTAGTAGCGAGCTTGGTGGGAGAAGCTGAGCGCAAGGCCAGGCACGGCCACGGCTCGAAGCGCCTGGCTGGGATTGCCTCGGAGCTATCCTGCGCATCAGCCGCGGTCGTTCCTAGCTTATTCGCAGTCTATTGGAGAGGATATGGGGCTTACCAGGAGGCGCGAGAGCGTCATGATGGCGATTTGCTGTTTATGGTGGGATTTTGAGTGTTGATCTTTGGGTAGTCGATGTTGGGTTGAAGGGAGAAAGAGCTGAAAGAGGATAGAAGCAACAGTTTCCAGACTGCCTGTGACTTCCACCTGCTCAAAAGAAACAGAACAACTACTTCGAAAGAGGCGGGCACACTGATGTTCTCGAGGCGAGAGCAACTAGTTGGAACCCAGTTCGGCTTAGACCGGGTCGTCAAGCTTAGTCGTCGCAGCCAGGCTCAGCCTTGTGCTCAGTATTCCAATCGGCCCAGCAGCAGACTCTATTATCCAAAGATCCTACGATAATTCTCTGTGTACGAATCGAGGGGTAAGGCTGAGTGAACGTTGATACGCTCTTGCCGAGGGGATCGCAGTGGTTTCGAGCTCGGTTGTCCCGGACAATGATTCTCGTGCTGAGTAACGGCCCCTTTCGTATGCCCCAATTGGCCGAGCTTCTCCTTCGCAGCGGTTTGATCGAGGAATCGTGATATTGGACTTCTAGGCTCGGGAGTTCGGCTCGGTGTGGGCGTTTGGGAAGTTTGGTCGGGGTTTGCGGAAGGGGGGGTAATCCGGAAGTTGAAGCTATCGTTGAAATCTGCTTCTGAGCATCGGAGCTTGGGAGAGCACAGCAACGCTTAGTCGCAAGGGCACGGAGCGGATCCTGGTCCATGCTGTCGCCAAGTCAGGAACAAGCTCCAACGCATGTGGGATGTGCCCATCACGTCATGGTGCAGCTGCTCCCTGTCACCCAAAATACCCCAGTACTATTCTCGTACCTGTTCTCTACCCGTTTGTTAGTTTGAGCCACAGGACCACTGGGTCTAGAGCCTTTGATGCTTGTCTTACGCCATGGAGTAGTCTCACGCAGCTGGACAATGGTGGAACTGAAAGACTTTGTGGATGCCTGTTTGGTGAGTATTTGATAAGAACAAACGAGCTCATCGTTGCCGCATGATGGCGCTTGGCTCTACCCGGCAGTGGAATGGATGGGCAACTGGCGAAACCCGTCTTTCCCTGATGAGATGATATCCTCACTCGAAATGGCCAAACTCGGCGATGCTGTCATTTTTCATGTCTCGAAAAGTCATGGGAATACTATGAATGAGGTTTGGAAGAAGATTTGGTCAATGGCTCTGCCTGAGGCAGGAAGAAAGGGACAGACCAAGAGAGCAATGTAACTAGTTACATTGGAAAGTGGCAGGAGTAGCCCGTCGTGATAGGGAAGGAGCGATTTGAAGCTTTTTTGTTCTACTAGTTGCTGGGAAAAAAGACAGACAGCAACCTACTCACTACATAATCGCAACCTACCTTACAGTTAAGAATACACTATCAATTCCCTCCGCTCCAAACTCTGATTTCATCCGATTCATGTTGTAAATCAATACTGCAGTTCATCATGTCCGACATCATAGACGAAGACGAAGACTCGAGGAGGGCGCAAGAGATCGGCATGCTGCTCAGGAAGAGCCAGCGACATCCCTCCCGTGCCTCACCGCGGGGTGCAGCGACACCACAAACAGCAGGGCCCTCCATGCTACATCACGTGACTCTATCCCCAGCATCCCCGGCCGTTAACAACCGCCAAAACATTGGCCGATCCTCAGGGCGCGTTCAGAAGAAGAAGAAGCTTCTTCAACAAAGCACCGGCGCAATGAGGTCGCATACCCCCTCGGGCGACCCTCCAGGGAGGCGCGCCTCCGTCACAAACCGTTTCCGCAATAGCACCGGCGGGAGCGCTCTTCCCAGACCCCATACTTCCTTGAGAGAATCCAGGGTACGCTTGGTTGCCTCTAGTAAACAAAAACAAAGAGAAACGTTGGCCCGCTGACAACGAAACTTAGACTTTTCGCGCAACACAACCAACATACAACCTGTTCACCGGCGGCGATGCCAACAGCAGGCCAGGCTCGCGCGCAAGTCTCGCCGCTCCCGACTCCGTCCGCGCCTCATCCCACGAAAGCTCAAAAGAAAACATGGCGCCCCCCGATGCCGCCGAGTACGAGTCCCAGCGCCAGGTCATTGAGGAGCTCAAGGCCGAGCTGGGTACGCTGCGCTACACCATCAGCACCTTTGAGCAGGAGAAGCAGATGGCCGACGCCCGACACAATGCCGAGCTCGAGGATCAGCGCCGTCGCGCCCAGGCAGATTTCACAGCGAAACAGGCCGCCGAGAGTGAAAAGTCCCAGGCCGCGCGCCAGCTGGAGAATACCCAAAAGGAGTTGAGCGATCTCCGCGAGAACATAGCACAGGAAAAGACGAGCCTAGAGAAGCGTGCGCGCGACGCGGAAGAGGAGGCCCTTTTACTACAGGAACAATTGGAAGACTTGTCAAGCTCAAAAGACGAAGCCGCGCGCATCAATGAGAGAAAGACAATCGACCTCGAAATGCAGCTCCAGGCCGCCCAGAAGTCGACTCAGGAGCTGGAACAAGAAAGTCAGGCCCGCGAGGCCGCTCTTCAGCAGATCCAGTCCCAGCTCGTGGACAAGGACAACCACGTAGCCGACCTTGAATCGGAAGTCCTCCGCCTCAAGGCTCAGACTGGCGATGCCGACACCATGGCCATCATTAAGCGCGAGCTCTCGGAGCAGGTCGCGCACATCCGCAGCCTCGAGGCCACGAACCGCGAGCAGCTCTCGGAGCTGAAGCACCTCCGTCAGATCCACCGGGCCGTCGAGGTCGTCGAAGAGGAGAAGAGATCCCTTCAACGTAAGCTCGAGGCCGCCCGGTCCCTCGAGACGGAGCTAGCCGAGGCACACATTCAGCGCCAGCGCCTTGAGGACGAACGCATTGCCTGGACGGGCTATCTCGCCAGTACCGATAACGGCAGCGGCGATCTCGAATTTGACTCCCCTGAAGCCGTCGCACGAGCCCTGGTCGAGCAGCGTTACGACAACGCCGCCCAGCTCGACAAGATGGGCTCCCTACAAGCCGAGCTCGCTGCCCAGGAGTCCTCAATCAAGTCCTGCCAGGAAGAAATCACCAACCTCAAGTCCCAGCTCGCCGACGCGAAGTCTGCCACATCAGCCCCCCAAAACGTCGATAAGACCCGCCTTCGCACTGAGCGCCAGCGTGTACTGGCCGTCAAGGAGGTAGAATACCTTCGCGCCCAGCTCAAGACCTTTGACGCCGAAGACGAGGCCTTCCAGCCCGAGGCCGTCGACGAGACCCGCGCCCGTCGCATCCAGGAGCTCGAAGACCTCGTCGACAAGTACAGAAGCGAGGTACAAGCCCTCCACACTGAAATGTCGTCCATAGAAGCAGGTAAACCACCAGCCGCCGCAGACCCAACACCAGCAGCCGGCACAAAACGCCCGCGCGACGAGAACGACGACGCCTCGGCCGCGCAGGAACAACTCGGCCTCCTCACCCGCAAAACCCGCAAACTCCAAGACCAGCTCGCCGCCGTGCAAACCCAACACGCCCTCACCCAAAAAGAACTCGCCGTCACGCAAGACCAGCTCAAGGCCCTCAAAACACAATCCAAAACCCGCGTCCTGTCTCTGCGCTCGAACCCGACGTCAGACTACGAAGCCATCAAAGTCGCCAAACTCAAAGCCCTCGAGCAGGAAAACGCCGACCTCCTCGCCCAACTCAACGACAACGAAAACGTGGACCTCGTCCCGCGATCCCAGCTCGATGCCGCAGACCGCCTGGTGGAAGAAGCCCGCGCCGAGACCGCATCCGCCCAGAAATCAGCCAAGCGCCTCAAGGAAGTCTGGTCTAAGAAATCCCTCGAGTTCAAAGAGGCCATCTTTTCCACGCTCGGCTGGACCGTCATGTTCATGCCCAACGGCAAAATGCGCGTCGAGTCGACGTTCTACCCCTCCCAGACGGACGAGTACGAGAACTCCATCGTGTTTGACGGCGAAAAGGGGACCATGAAGGTCGGCGGCGGGCCGAGGAGCGCTTTTGCCCGAAGAATTGGCGATCAGATTGGCTTCTGGGTCAGGGAGAAGGGGTGTATTCCTGGGTTCTTGGCGGCGCTGACGTTGGAGTTTTATGAAGAGTATTCGAGGAATCAGATGCAGACTGAGTAAAAAGAAGAAGGAATGATGATTGGAGCTTGCTGGCTGCTGCATATCGTTTGTCATAGGGGAGAATACACGGCAGACAGAGGTCCGGGGAGAGGGAGACAAGAAGGGGCTCTCGCGTACACATTGCCGGGACAGCGAAAGAGCTGCTCTCCACGACTTACATATTTTTTATAACTACTACCTAGCTAAGACGTGGCGCGGCGGAACATGAGGAGGTTCGAGAGCGGAAGAAGGAGAGAAATAGCCTCGAATGGGAGGCTGGCTTGTACATGTTTTGATATCACGATGATACCTCCACCTCACGCCCCAAAGACGCGGTATTGAGGGTGCAGATGCTTGACGGATAGTTATCCTTAATGATACAATGGCTTTTTTTTCCTTGTTCATACACACTATTTGCGCTTTGCACTTGACACTTCGCATTTCAGCTCACCCAATTGGTAAAAGCCACACACGAGTAAAGACACCGGATATCTTGAAAATCTCTTTTTTCTTCATCATATCGGTACAGAAACTACCTACAAGCAAAGCCCCCCCTACAAAACAATCCGTCTCCGTCGTCAAAGGGATGGTCCCACAGCGAGATCATACTCCTCGAAAATCCAATACCAGACAGAAGATGGGGAGGTAAAAATCAACAAGTGACTGAGCCAGACAAAATGATTATCCGGGGGGTGTCTTCTTTTCCTCTCCTGCCATGCGCTCGCTATGTAAAATGGTCTGTCTTCCAATGGCAATACAAAGTCTACCACTTTGAACGGGTATGTACACCTCGCACCACATCTTCCTCATTTCAAAAGTTCATGGCTACAAAGATTACTTAGCCTCGTACTTGCCGCTAGTAATCTTCTTCACCAAGTTCACGTCCACCCACTGCTGATCAGCTGGCAGCGCCGGCGAGGTCGGGTTGTCATCAGCAAAGGGGTCGGCATCTTCATCCTTGCCCTTGCCCTTGGTTTCTTCCAGGCGGGAAATACTGATGCCGCTACCCAGAATCTCCGGGGTGAGCTCCCAGCGGGCTTCAATGTGGCCAGGTTTGGGTTCCGCGTTCTCAGCTCCCACGATACGGCACACAATCTTCTGTGTCTCGTTTGTGAGAGTCAAGTCGCCCAAGCGCCAGTATACCAGATGCTTGTCCTTCAGGTGCGTTCCTGTCGGCTTTGTCTGGGCGCCTGAAGCCTTGGCACCCTCGTACGTGGCGACGAATACGACGTTCTGTAGTGTAACAGGAGCTGTAAGGTTACTTGCGGGGTTCAGGGAGTACTGCAAGAGAAGTCCGAGCTTGTCGCCCTGCGGCTTCCAAGCCGGGCGGATCAGCAGAGGAACTTGCGCCGCTAAGCCAGAGCCGTCGGCATCGCCAGCGTGTACTCTATACGTAAACGCTGTGGATGTCTTGTTGAGATGCGACACGTCCAAGTTGAATTCGTCAGACTTTCCGAGGCTGTTTTGAACAAAGATACGGTTCGGTCCAATAACTTCAAGGCTGGGGAAATTGTTGATCCTGATCGTCTCATGTTCTGTTCAAAGTTAGCATTTTGAAGTCTGCAGAATGAAAAATTGACTCACCTTGCGGAGTATCACCAGTTGCATGGTAGGCGAACGCGATTTCACCGTGAACCTTGGCGCTTTTGACGGTTCCATCCTCAAAGGTTGCGGACACCGTTTCAATGACGGAGGCGTTGAGTCCAGGCTGGTGCATTTCGGGATGCTTGAGGTGCGCGAGGCTCACGAGGGAGTTTGCGGAGCGGATCGACTGCGTGTCTGATGTTGCGGCAATGCTTGCCTCGGATGTGAGGGCAGCGACGGTCGTGGGCTTGGACGACTGGCTTGGCAATGATGGCGATGTTGGGAATGGGTTTTCGTTGGTGAGCTCGGGTTCAGGCAGGCTAGGGGGCGGGACGTAGATGGTATTTCTCACGTCTCTACGTCCTCGAACAGTTCCTAGCTTGCGTGACGGAGCAGCCATCTGGGTCAGCGTGTTTGCGACATTCGACATGGCAGCTTGCTTGGCATCGGCATCCTCCTCGGCGATAGGCGAGCTCGCAATGTTAAGCTTGAACATTTGCTCATTTTCCTCGGCAGCCTCGCGCTGAGCCTGGGAAATTGGATCATTATCGGGTGGCCGGATCGTGAAGCCTTCGTCGTCCTTGGCTTGGGAATCCTTGCCCTGTGACGGGGGAGGACCGGGTGGAGGAGCAACATCCAAAGCATCGGTGTCGTGATTTCCGTTGACGGGACCAGCAGAAGAACCCAACCGAGCACTATCCGATTGGAAGTTGCTGAAGCCGTTGGTGCCTTCATGGAGCGGCCCGTCTGTTCCGGAGGACTGAGGTGGTCTGGGAGAGTCAGGTGTTTCGGGAAGAGCGGAGAGGCGGTTGTTCGTCTCGTTCAGGTTATTCGACGATGCTCGGGGAGAAAGGCCGGGGCGAACGTGAGTGCTACTATGGCTGCTGCTAAGGCCTCGGCCGAAAGAAGGGACACCGCCCTTGCCGGGAGAAATCTGACCGAATCCGCCGTGGACGCTCTGCCGGCGGCGGCCGAGCATCGTGCCGATTCGGCTTCGCAGCTTCGACTCTACGCTCCATATTAGTCTCGCAGTCTCTGGATGGCATTACATAGGGCAACATACCGCTCTTTCCTTCGCCCAGACCGGAGTGTTCGCTTGCGTCATCGTCGTGGTGGCCGAGACTGCTGGGCGGCGGTGGAGGTGGTGCCAGAGTCTGGCTCGTGGGGGCATTAGAGGATTGTCTAGACGCCGTGGCCCTCTTCTCCAACCTCGGTCTGCCAGACAGAATCCTTTCCTTGAAGCTCGCGATTTCTTGCTCGGTGCTGATCTCCAGCATGGAAGCCAAGGTGTCAGCAGCGCGGCTCTGGTTTCGTTGCGCCTGGTCGCTTTCGTGGGTCTCGTATTGCGTCAGCAGGTCGCGCAGCTGATTGACGCGTTGCTCGTCGAGGGCTTGGAGGGTCTCGAATATGAAGGGAGCCTGCGAATCCCACTGCTGGGTGGTAGACTCCAGTCTCGCCGTGGCATCCGCCATCTTCTGGGCGTTCGTCTTGGGGCCCTTTCGAGCCAAGGCTTCAGTCTTCTTCTGGGCATCTTCTAGGTCTCGGGCCATGGAGGTCAAGTTGGCGGTGATAGTCTGCATGTTCTGCATCTCCTTGCGGGACGAGAAGTTACGCAGGGGACCCTCGACATCTTTTTCGAGCTGGCTCGCGAAAACGTGGTGGGAGTGGGCAGTTGAGTCGACGGATTGGAGGATTTTGTCCCAAGGACCGGAAAAGACGCTACTCAGCTAATCAGTATACGGTCCTACTGCTAAATCCCGAATGCAATGGTCGGGCAACCTACCCAAGCTCAGACGAGCTGTTGGGGACCTTGAAGGCGAGCAATTTTTTGAGGCTTTGGACGTATTGATCTTCAACTCGGCGGCGTTCCTGAGTAGGGTTATAGGTCAGCTTGGGATTGTCCTGTGCTGTCGCATTCTGTTCATCGTGGGTGGTGCCTTACCTGCAACCAGTCTGCGATCTCGGTGTTGATCTTGTTTATTCTCTTCACACGATCGGTAAGGACGTTCACGGCCTGCATGGGCTGGAGGTGCTCCTAAACAAAGGGGAATGACAGTCAGCAAAACAAGTCGCAAACAATGCGCTCCTGCCATTGCAATGGAAGTACACCAGTCGCAGTGAGGTGGATTGTGGAAAGCCAGCCCGACCTCGGCTTCTGCCCGGTAGGAGGGCCTTTCCAACCACTGGGGGAAACAGTGACGGATTGACGGGAATGAATGGGGGAGGGGGGGAAACATTACCAGCATGGCCGGGTACTCGGCCCTCGCGAGATCATCCATTGTGTCTAATTAGTGCGGCGCGCGCAAAGTCATGTACGATGAATGCAAGCAACGAGAGAAAAGGCGCGCATAGCGATGCTGTCTATGATGCGGGAAAAGGTGTGGGCGAAGTGAGAAACATTCGCATCGTGGGAAAGTCGTGAGGTGTGAGGAAGGTGGGTTGTCCTGCGAGACGGCGGCGGCGGGAATTGAGTGGATGGTTGGAATGGTCCAGTTGGATGGTGGATGAATGGAACAATAAGGCAGGACAGGAAGGAATGGATGGCGCCGCCGCTGCTGCTGCTGCTGCCGAACAAGACGAAGCCCGGTCAGGCAGTCACCAGGTGCAGCAGGTGCAGCAGGTGCAGACTGTGGTCGCCAGTGAGGTGTGGGAGAGTGGGCCCATGGGACTGGAAAGCCGGGAAGAACTCCTGGTACCTATCCATAATAGAAGTCACTTTACATACTCATCGCAGCTAAGAGTGACTTGCTTCCGTCTTTTTTTATTTAGTCTTGGGCTGATGATGAAGTGTGGAGAGGACCGGACCGGGGGGCATGGGCTGGGCTGGACTTGGGATTTTTTTGGTGCATTCACAGGTCGGACTTGGACAGCCCGATTCATACCATGTACCTTGGTATGAACCTGGAATACTTGCATGTACAGCAACATGAGCATTTGAGGTCGAGGTTTACGGCTCGCCTCGATCAACATCGAGACGCGTCAACTGCATACAAACGCAACGTGGTAAGTCCCGTCTAATCATCTAATGCTGCCTTCTTGCTTTAGCTTGATCAATGCTGCTGCGTGGCCTCGACGCCTCCTTGGTCTCCCACTGGCACCTGGGTGTCAATGTCATCCAACCTCATCCTTGAGATGTCTCACGTACCTTTTTTTCTTCTCGAATGCGTCGTCAATTGGCCCGAGTGCTGCCTCGTCCTGACCAAAGGTTCAGCGCATGTTCCACTGGCGCCAGATTTGAATTTATTGGATTCGGATGGGACAATTGGCCCGGGAGCTGCGGACAAGGACGCACCATCCATTAAAATTCACAGTCATCCACAAGATCATGAGGTGCCTATACTATTCATCACTAGGTGATAGCAATCCGCTTCTCCTTCTCCTCTTCCTCTTCCTCATTCTGGTCATCCCGATATGACTTCTCAATGGCAATGAGCCGGTTAATACGAATCTGTCTCCTTTGCACAGCTCAATCATAAAGAGACAACATACATCTCAACCCCAGTTCCACACTGACCAACCACCCTCATCTCTCTGTGCTTTGGGTCGGACAGGGCTCCTGTAATCGAAACAGGCTAGCTCGGAGGGGACTCCTGCAAATACGTCACGCACCTTACAGACCAAGTTAGCACAATCCTCAGCTCGAGTTGGCAACCGAGGAAGAACTCATCTGAGCCTTCCAGCAAAAGCCAGCTTCGAGATGTCCTCTTCTGAAGCTGACAAGGAGCACAGCAGGCAAGACATGAATGATCACGAAAAGGTACAGAGGCACCGCTCGTCCCCCCGATGCTGGAAACAACGGCGGCGGCGGGCTGCATAACCCAGACCACATTCCGTCAACCTTAAGCAGCTTCCCTGCCTTCATTCTGCCTTAGTCACGTTGATCCTGTTTTAAGCATCCCGCATCCGCCTGGCAAGGTTCAGAGGAACGGTGCCTGTATGAGATGACGGGAAGTGCCCTGACGTGTCGCGCCCGCGTAAAGTCTCTGATCGAAATTCAATCTCAGCCCACCTCACGGAGACCAAGCCGGCGCAAGAAGGTAAAGGGGAAAGAGAAAAAAAAACCATGACTGAGCCGCCCCATCCTTGCAGGTTGTCAGCTGCGCATGAAGTTTTATTTTGGCACTTAATTCAATCGCAAGGATCTTGATCTTCAAGCCAGAACACCACCCACAATGTATAGGTATTCAAGAAAAAAGAAGGCCCTTCCTGGCACGACTTGCCGGCAGCCCTCCATGGACTGCACGGAGTGAGACCCAAGAGTGGTGCGCATTAGCGCAGTAAAAGACCGTGATAATCCTTACGCCTCGTGAGGCTAAGAGGAAAGCTAAGATTGAGTCGAAGAAGTAATTAAAGACATATTTTGACGCCATGGGACGCCCCTCGTCAGGTACCCGGAATTGCAATGCCCAACCACGCATTATGTAAGCTTATTTCTCTTCCTGTTCATTCTTTCCACTCGAAAAGGAGACAGCAAGTCCGCACTGTGCGAACGCTGTTTCCCGCCGAGATCCACACCGGAGGGTCCGGCCCGGACAGTCCTTTCACCGCCTCCGACGTTTCTCACACGGTACGTACCCAGTTCTACGGCGCTCCCGCTTTCCTAGCTGCATCACAGGGATCATCAACGGAAGGTGCAACGACGCCTCAACCCTTCCTGTCTGGTGCTCACTAAGAACGGCCAGTTGAAAGCAACGCCAGTGCACCACCGTCAAAGTCTCGTCATCCTTGCTCGCCCAATTCACGCCAACTTCCGTCCTCGACAGCCGCCTGGTTCTCATGGCAGACAGCGACTGGAGGACGCAATTATTGGCGTCAGATCGATATGAAAACATTCAGAGGATGTAAGTCATAAATCTTCAATGCGCATTCAAGCCGTACTTACACCAATCCCTATGTAGAAAGTCCGTCTTGGAGACAGCTAGTCCGGATGCCAAAGACACGTCACAGTCGGACGCATTTTCTGTAGAAAACCAGGCTTATAAAGACTCGTCGTCCAGGGTGAGTTTTCCACCCTATTTCTCACCTTTTGCCCAAGTTCAACGCTCACATGTCATGGTCAGGCTCAATATGACGAAATCTGCCAGCTAGTCGGCTCAGCCAATTTGTCTCGCCCGGAAGCCCCAGCACCTGCTGATGACCAACCTGAAGATGCTGGCGTCAACATTGGTTCTTACCAAAACTGTGTTTCTTTTGCAAGTGGCTTAACGTCAGAAGTCTACCGATGCAAAGATCGAGCGCTCAAGGTCATTGTGGAAACACACAACATTGAGCCTCACAATCCGCAACGCGAGGCCAGGATTCTAGCGACCTTGAAACGACCATGCATTCCACTTTTAGAAACATTCAGGGACCAAGAACAAAGATTTGTCCTAGTGTTTCCTTACAAGCCCATGACACTTGCCGATGTCATTGACAAAGGAACCGTTCCCCTGCCCCAGATCAGACGTCTCTTCAAAGACATCTTCACTGCACTCGCGAATATCCATGGCCAAGGCATCATACACCGAGACGTCAAGCCCGAGGCCATCCTGCTCGACGGTCCGGAAGGGCCAGCATATCTTTCTGATTTTGGAACAGCCTGGCACCCGACCATGTCGATTGTCTCAGAGCCGGCCAAATCCAAGATTCTGGATATCGGGACCGGCCCCTACCGAGCGCCTGAAGCCCTCTTCGGTGATAAAGCCTACGGTCCTTCTGTCGACGTGTGGGCGGCTGGGGCCATGCTGGCCGAGTGCTGTCGCAGTCCCCCAAAGTCCCTGTTCGATTCAAGACCCGCCCATGAGGACGGCAACCAGCTGGGTTTGATTCTGAGCATCTTCAAAACTTTGGGCACGCCGACACGCGAGACTTGGCCCGAGGCTGCGAGCTTCAAGACGCCACCCTTTGAGATGTACCGCATGTTTGATGGCCAACCGTGGACAGAGATTCTTCCAGAGGTTAATCCCCATGCTCGAGAGCTGATCTCGAGCTTGGTGCGCTTTGACTCTAAGAGGGCTACAGCGGAGCAAGTGAGTTGCGGTGATCTTTTCCACCACAAGCAATTTTTCTTTACTGACTATACCATAGGCTCTACAGCACAAGTTCATGGTAGGCACTGAGGAAAGTCGAGCATAGGAGGCCACCCGGTCTTCGAGGACAACCTGACAAAGAGCAGGTGTATTTGAAGCTGGGCCACCCTTAATCCTTGGAAGGTCGAAGGAAAGGGGTCAGCATTGTGCTGCAGGTTTTCAAAGCAGTTTCTTTGTGTTCACGGCCTCCTTAGAGTCCCATAGGCCTTGGAAACCCTTCAGAACGCTGCGAAGAGATCTCGGTATCGAAGAACAAAGGCCCCGGGATCTCGCACCAGGTATTAATGTCCGCGGTCCTGCGCGTCATCGCCACCCAACCAAGTCAAACTCAACTTTTCCCATCTCGCAAGATCAAGTCAGTTCAGACACTACTAGCCTCATCCGCGCTTCAGAAGTCGAAGAAAGCTGTCAAACCATGGCCCCTCCTGGCGAAAAAAGATCAAAAGATCGCGCGCCCTCTGGCCCGAAGAAAGTGAAAAACCGTGACGGCCCGAACATTGGCACTCAGAACGCACCGGACACGTCGGTCCTCGGGGACCAACCCGAAGGATCACGACGACAAGAGGGCTCAAAAAATAAGAATACCAACGCCATCGCAAATATGCCAAGAAGGTTAGCAGGAGGCAAAAAACCCCACCATTGTCCATCAGGAGAGCACAAGAGCGACAAGGCTTGCAGAAAAGGCCGTTGTCTTATAAAGTGTTCTGAATGCGCCTCCAATCGCTCTACGTTCGGAGGATCGAAATGTTGGGTTTGTAAGAAAAGCGAGATCCGTCGGGCACAGATAGCAGCGAGGCAGGCGGGTGGCGTCGCCAACAAGGCGTCGCTTCCTCGGCAACGGCCTACGCGCGTCACCAAAAGGGGGACATGGCTCCGTATGGGATCCCTCAGGCGTCATTACCAGGTCGCGTCGGTCAATCGGCTCCGGAAGGTCATCTCGGCGAAGATTCTCGAGGATGTTCCCGAAACCACCTACGTCGACACGGCTATGGACGTCTGCTCTACCCCCAGCGTTGCTGAATTCGACACTTATATGGGCGATGTCGATGACGAGTCCGATGACGAGCCCAGCCTTTCCCCTGTCGACACCAGCTTAGATAGCAATGAGCAATTAAGGTTCAACCCAGAAAACGCGGGCCCTGTGTGTAACGAGGAGCAACGCAATAAACGTGTCCGGGATGCCGTGGAGATTCTTAAGCTTGTTCGTGAAG